GCGGGCGCCCGTCTGCAGGGCCGGGGCGGGCAGAGCGCGGGCGCCCGTCTGCAGGGCCGGGGCGGGCAGAGCGCGGGCGCCAGGCCATGGCGAGATTGGACCCGGACGCCCTCACCGCCGGGCTCAGCCGCAGCCTCGAGCTGCACAGTCCCACAGGCCTAGTGGTCCCCAGCAGATGTCCCAGGTCGGGGCCCCCAGCGAAGCTCCGGGAGTCGGCACCTCCCCAGCTCTGGCACTAATCACTCTATGAGGAAGTTTGGTCTCTCCTCCTTGCAGACCTGCCGCCCCCGCCCCCCAGCCGTGGGCACAGCCCACCCACTTACCTGACACGCAGACCTTCCCCCTGCAGGGTAAGCGATCGTCCATGGGGCCAGCGTCCGAGGGGCTGCAGGGGAAGCACAGAGCTGTGACCAGCATCCGGTGCCGCACGTCTGCCCCACTCCCGCATCCCAGCTCCCCCCAGCCCCCAGCCCCAGGTCCCTCTGCCCGGCCACGGGGTCCTCACCGCCGGGCCGTCCTCTGCACCACCTGCGCCTCCTTCATGCGCTGCAGCTCGGACATGTAGGCCATGATGCGGCTGTTGCAGACCAGAAGGCTCTTGGTTGCCTCCAGAGCCTGCTCCCGCTGTGTGCAGGCTGCCAGAAGCTTGCAGGCACCTTCGCGCATCCGGAGCTCATGGTCAATCTTCTTCTGGATGTCAGTGTCCTGGGGAGACGGGAGGGGTCAGTGGGGCTGGGGGCACCAGGGGGCGGGACCAGTGGGGCTGGAAACACAAGGAGGAGCCAATGGGGCTGGGGACACCAGGGGGCATGGCCAATGGGGCTGGGGGCACCGGGAGAGGTGGGGCAGGGCCAGGGAGCCTGGGGGTACTGGGGGGTGGGCCAGTGGGGCTGTGGGCACTGGGAGTGGAGCCAGCAGGGCTCTGGGCACCGGGGCGGAGCCAGGGCTAATGGGGTCAGTGGGCACTGGGGGCAGGGGCAGTAGGGCTGTAGGCACCGGGGGTTTGGGGCATGAGTGGCCAAGGGAGGGGTAGGGCAGCTGTGGGCACCATGGGGAGGGGAAGGGGTTGGGGAGAAGCATTTAGGGGAGTAAACATGCAGAGCTGGGCCATGCAGCACCTGGGGGGCCAGCCCCACAAAGGATAGGGAGGATTCTGGGGGTGAATCCCAGAACCCCCGAGCTGGGGTGGCGTCCCCCATGGGAGGGGCTGGGACACCCAGCCCTGGGGAGCTGCAAGCCCCGAGGGGTACGGGTCACCCCGCCCATGGGCCAGGACAAAGCCCAGGCCCTGCTGTGAGGTGTGCGGGGGGCTTGGGGTGGGACGTCAGCCAGAGGTGCCCCGTGGCAGAGCAGCTCAGGGAGGGGCTGTGCACAGAGACAGGGGCATGGCTGGCACAACGGGGCGCCTTGGGGGACTCAGGAGGGCACAGACCCTGCCCACACAGAGACAGCTGTACAGTGTCCCCTGGCCCCCACCAGCTGCTGCCCCATGAGGAGCAGAGCGACAGGCCCAGCCCCGGGCCACCCGGGCACACAACAGGTCCCTGGCCACCCGGGGAGCCAGCCTGGGGCACCCCAGTCACAGGGGCAGGTGTGGGGAGGGCACAGAGGGTCTGGAGCTGCAGCCATGTCAGAGCGAGGGGGAATCCACACCCAGGCTCCAGGGCACCAGGGGAGGGCCCTGGGGTCAGGAAGGAATCCACCCTTTCTCCCAGGCCGGCTGGCCAGGTAGCAGCTAAACTCCCATTGGAGAGGAGGCAAGGAGATCCCAGGGAAGGCAGCCTGAAGGCAACCACAGGGAAGGGGCAGGGCCCAGCGTCCGAGGGTGGAGCTGGCAGGTCCCGGGGGAAGCCACAGGCTCCTGGGAACCAGCACAAGGGCTGGGAGGTGGGAAGCGGCTCCAGGAGCTGCCTTGGCTGCTGAGCCCAGGCTGCCTGGGCCAAACCCGGAGCAGGGGGTTGGCCTGGGCCCCCTCTCAGCATGAGGGTGGCGTAGAAACCAGGGATTTCCCTACACCCCCCCCCGAATGTCCCCAACCCCACTTTTGTGAACTAGTTACATGCAGTGTTGCCAATGTAGTGATTGTTTGGAAATCTGAATTGAAAATGAAACATTAATACACACTTTAAAAGCATATACAGGGTATGATAAAATACGTGTATCTGAAAAGGTATCATAGATTTGAAAAGCATGAACATAGACTAGCTTCCTTATACAGCTGTCGTTTTTTATGACAATGTCGGTGCGTTCATTTCGGTGATGTTGGCCAACCTAATCATTTCAAACGATGATTTATAAGCGAAGTCTAAATGAGCTCTCCCTGACAGCTAGTGATGAGCTGGGGGGGAAAGGCTTCAGGACCAGATTGTATTTACATTCGTCTGGGGGGTAATGAAATGTTGTTCTTATTGTCTGAGTAAAGGGCAGTAGAACTGTACTTAGCCTGTGCTGATTGAGGGCATCACGAGAGAGGGTGGGGACAGCTGTTTTGCTTGATGGTCTGCCTGAGTCACAAGTACTATTTGACCTGCCTCTCCACTGTTTAAAGACAGAGCTGATTAGACTCCACAGATAGTCTTTTGTTTTGTTACAGCTGAAATCACTGATAATCAGGTCTAAGTGCTTAGACCTGCTGTGGGACAGTGTTTCTGTGGAAGAGACGGCCCAGACTGCACTAGCAGCGAGGTTCCCCCCTGAGAGCTCAGCTGAAGTCACTGAGAGCTGGTGGAACCTCAAGAGACCAACTCGCAGAGGTCACAGTGGCAGGTGGCAGCAGAAGGTGACGGCGCAGGGCCATTGGCAACAGAGCGATGGAGTGAACGGTGGCACAACGAACAGCAGTGGCCAGAGCGAACAGTGGGCAGCTGGAGGAACGAACAAGGTGCCTTCTGGCCCCCCACCTGGGAGGTGAACCCATGTGAAAGCACCTCTGAACTCTGAGTCTCCACTGACCAAGGACAGCACTGGTGAGTGTTAATGAGGCTGTTAAGAATGCTGGAGACCCAACACAGTTCATGTGAACAAACATGGCTGTGGCATCCTACTTTCTATTTAAGCAAGAGATACCACACACTACAAACTGGAGGCCAGTGTTAAGGGCATGGTCACTTGTTCATCCTGAAGTTGAACACTGGTTCCGAACAAGACCAGCAAATGCTCACTATCTTTCTGCAAGAAACTCAACTGACTGGCTAGATGCATGTGGTGCAACCGTGAAAGACACAACAGTTGAAAAAGTGAAGAACTCTCTCACCACATTCAAAAAATGTGCATACATGGCTGATGAATGCACCGATGCAAATGGGCATCAAGTATTAAGTCACTGCGTACGTTATCTTGATGTCAGGGGTAGGCCAGTAGATGCATTTCTAGATCTTCAAGTTATAGAAGACACATCGGCTGCATCTGTGACAACCCACATCTTAGAAGAGTTAAATGCTTGTCAATTGGACCCCAAACAGACGGCTGCTTGTGCATTTGATGGAGCTGCAAACTTCTCTGGAAGACATGGTGGAGCACAAGCTTTGCTCAGAGAAAAGTGTAACCCTAATCTCTCCTATACACACTGCAGAGGCCATCTACTCCAACTAGCGCTAGTACAAGCTGCAGACTCTTCAAAAGACATTTAAAAAGCTATTAATTTAATGTCTTCATTATATTCTTTTTTCAGCAAGAGTCCAAAAAGACTGAATATCTTGGAAAACATAGAAGATACACTGGGACTGAAGTTCAAATTAGTCCAACCTGGGAAAACCCTCTGGCTTTCTCATGAGCGATCCTTGGTTGTTGTCTTAAAATTACTCCAGCCGTTATTACTGGCTTTGGAAAGTATCTACCAAGATGGGATGGATCGAAGTAGTGAGGTTGGTGGATTACTTTTGCTACTACGTTCAGAGAAGACTATTGCCATTCTCTCTCTCTCCTAAGCGGGGGAGGGATAGCTCAGTGGATTGAGCATTGGCCTGCTAAACCCAGGGTTGTAAATTCAATCCTTGAGGGGGCCACTTAGGGATCTGGGGCAAAAACCTGTCTGGGGATTGGTCCTGCTTTGAGCAGGGGGTTGGACTAGATACCTCCTGAGGTCCCTTTCAACCCTGATATTCTATGAAGTCTACTATTGAAACCACGTGGGTCATTAAACAATGCCATCCAGGCATCTGCTACAACAGTAGTAGATCTTTGTCCAGCAATAGAAGCTACATTTGGATCAATCAGAGAGCTATCCATTGAAAAAGTACTGGAAGAAGCAAAGACTTCAGTCCAGAATTTGACGAATGAAGGCATTTATATTGAATCCTTAAGTGAAGAAGACAAGAAGTGTTTGTTAAGACAACTGAAAAAGTACACAGACTTGATTCCTAAAAATCTACAACTGCGACTTCTAGATTCTACTCAACCTCTACGTAGCTTTTACAGATCCCTGTCCTATAAAACACCGACAGCTGAGTGGAGTGAGGCACTACCAGCAATGGGGCTGCCATGTGCTCAGGACAGAATAGAGAATTTGAACACAGAGTGGAATATCATACCATGAATGAATGAAGATTTGACTTCAAATTCTTTTTTATCATCACTAGTGGCTCGACCTGATCTTTGTGATCTGTTTCCTGGGATGAAAGAAGTAGGAACTCATCTCTTGCTACTCCCAGTCTCAACAGCTATAGTTGAGCATTCTTTTGCCTCACTGAATAGAATTTTGTGTTCTGAAAGAAGTCGCCTTCTGCCTGATCATGTGAATGAACTAATGAGCATATCAATTGAAGGAATGGAAGTACCGGACACACGAGAAGCCACCGAAGATGAACGCGTTGCATTCAAGAAGTTCATTAACAGAGTTGTGCAAAATTATAACAAGAAACCAAGAAGGATGTAGACGTAGTACGTCCTAGAAGGCTTGAGTAGCCAACTTTAATTTGTGTGATGATTTTAAAACAGGAGTTAAATCTACTAAAATGGTCATGAAACATTTCAGTTTTTACTATGGTGCCATACAGCCCCCCTTCACCCTCACGGTCTCACCTCTCATCGGCCCTGACCTCCCCCCC